GGCTGCCTACTCCGCGCCTGGGACCCCCTACTGCGGCCGGGTAGGCAGTCTCGCCGGGCACGGCTGCGCGCGGGCTGCCTCCCCAACGCCTAGCTCACTCCTCTCCTCCAACAAGTACAGCACGTGGGAGCTGCTGCTGGCCGCGGCCGCGAGGGGCGCCGCCGTCGTGATCTCGACGCACTACACCGAGGAGGCCACTAGGGCGGACACGGTGAGGTTTATTAAAGTGCTTTTTGCTGGGACGGCGGAGTGTGAGTGGCGGGCTGACTTTGAACTTGCTCCCACCAGGTCGGGTTGCTGCGTGACGGGCGCATGGTGGTCGAGGACAGCCCCGCCGCCATCCTGGAGACGCACGGCGGCCATGACCCGGACGCGCGCCTGGAGGAGGCCGTGCTATGCCTGTGCGTGTCCCTGTCCCGCGGCCGGGCAGCCGTCCCTGAGCGACACGCTCGGCACGTACTCGAAGACCCGCCTCGGCACCTACAGCATGGAGAACATTACGGCCCACTGCGCGTCGCGGACAAACTGGTCGCACTGTTGTGGAAGGACGCCATCTATCTGCGACGGCATTGGGCGTAAGTCGAGGCGTAAGTGCTTGGTGGCGACGCCTATCTCGCGGAGACCTCCACGGAGACCTCCAAAGCGCTCGCCGCTCACGTCCCCATACCCTACAGGGGGCTGGCCGCGCAGGCACTCTTCTTCGTGCTCATCACGCTGCTGGCGTGTGTCGTCCTGGGGCACTGGCCCCGCGGCCTCCGCGTCGACGTCGTCAGCGAGGAGGCCAACTGCACGGAGACTTTGGACGCGCCCGGAGACCCGCTGAGTTGTGCCGTCCTTAGGGCGCTGCCTCTCCGTGGCCTACATCCGGTACGTGTGTTTTCGCCGCCTCTGTAGCTACCCGGCCTCCTTGATCCGCTGACCGTCTCCGTTGCCGCCCAGGTCCTCCAGACCGACGTCCTCTCCGCCGAGCAGGCGGTGCGCTCTGGTGTGTCCTGGGGCGTGCTGCGCTTCGGCGTCAACTTTACCCTCGCATTCGTGGACCGTGTCGTCCACCAGCGCGACGCCGATGACGTCCTCCGGGCTAGCGAGGTCGAGGCTCGCCTCGACACGACAGGTGGGCGGCGAGATTTTGAACTTACGAATCCCCGCTAAAACGCTTTGATTTTTCAATCGAACCTTCTCGTATTTCTAGATTTTGTAATGAGCAACATGATCACGAGACGTTTGGTCAGCATTGTGACCGATTTGGTGTCCAGTCTAAACCCCAGTATGTCTAATTTCATCAAGGTGAGAGAATGCGAGTGTCCGCACTTCACGCCGTGATTCGATGTGTCAGGGGGAAATCCCTTAAAAATGTTGACACTTTCAGATTTTAACAAAGCGTGGTTCAAGTATTTTGCCCAAACATCGTGTGTAACCTATGCATCCAATTAATTTACTCAACATAGTACAGGAGTACAACATTTCACGTGATAAAAAAATGCGTTAAAGTTAAACAGGCGGAACTTTTTAGAAGTGACATCCAGAAAAGTTTGCAACTTGGACCAAGTGTTGCTTAGAAACCTGAAGGTGTCGTCATTGGACCAGTTCGAGTAGGCTCTTCACTTAACGCGCCATTGTATACCCGTAGTTCGAGGATCCCGTCTTCGGCCACGCCGAGCCCGAGTACACGGAGACCCTCATGCCCGGCGTCCTCCTGGGGTACATGACGACGTTCGCGGCCTCCCTCATCATGTCCACCCTGCTCACGGAGAAGGCGGACAGGTTCATGGAGCGCACGCTGGTGTCGGGCGTGCGCGTGTGGGAGCTCATGGGCTGCTGGGTGGTGGTGCTGGTGCCCGTGGTGCTCGCCGTCAACCTGGTGAGCCACCTGCTCGTCTTCGGGCCCATGGCCGTCCCGTGCGCCGGCCGCCCCGCGCACATGTACCTGCTCTGCTCCGCGCTGTGCGTCATGACCATGTTGGCCGGTATGAGAGAGAGCGTTTGAGGAACCACGGAAATGCATTTACATTGAACAACTACACGTAGAAATGTGTCGCTTTTGCACAGGTCTTCTATTTGCCTCCGTCTTCGACAACTATATCGCAGCGATCCTCTCGTGCCACCAGTTCGCCGTGTCCTTCCTGTTTCTTAGCGGTGAGTATCTCCGACGTGAGAGGAGTAGACGCTATACTCCCGACTCGAGAGTCCCTGACGCGAGGAGACTCTCTCTCCGTCCTGTCCGCAGGTGTCCTGTGGCCGCTGCAAGCCATGCACTGGTCGCTGCGGTCGCTGGCCCGCGTCCTGCCGTGGTCCCACTGCATGGAGGCCGCGCGGGCGGTGGTGCAGCGAGGCTGGGGCCTCCAGCACCGGCAGGTGTGGCTGGGCTTCGGCAGCTGCGCCATCTGGGCCGGCCTGTTTCTGGGAGGACTCGTCCTGACGCACCGAACCCGCCGCAGGTGACACCTTTCATTCGTACCTCTCTCCCTCTCGTCATATTCATTGACCAGGTTGTTTGGGTGTGTCTAAAAAAAACATAATTACTCAAGACGCAGCGAGGTTTTGTTAGAATTTATTTATGGCCTTTGTTCTATGTACAATAAAAATATTTATGCGCAAAGCTGCACTCTGAGCGTTATAGGATACACAATAAAATAAATCAGAGATCCTGGAATTCAGTCCGCGTCAGTTATGGCAAACAGCTAAATGGCGCAAACGGCAAACTGCATTTTGCAACAAAGTAATTTCATGGACGGAGTAGACAACTATTCTAGGCTGAAGAGAAATATGTACAGTTTAACAGGTATCGAATGCTGAATGCTGCTATCTTCTGATCACTAAAAAAAATGATTCCAGCTACTCTATATCAAACACGCCGCAGAGAAAACTCCCTACAGTTATCACAAATTCGGTTAGGTTTGATGTTTAGTCGTTGCGGTGACAGTCCTTACCAGCCAATCACCACTTTTCTGCATCCGTTTATTTTAATCTCGTCGTCAGAACTAATCCAAAACAAATGCCGCTGGACACAGAACACAAAAACAAACAAAAAATCCTACTTGACTAAGGCAGTTTTGCAAACTGTGACCAGCGTCATCTCCGATGGGTCGGAACACGTCAGGTACTGTTCTCTTCGGGCTCGGGGCGCGGCCGCGGCCTCTCCTCCAGGGCCTCCTCACCGCCGCTTGCGCAGCACGAACAGCACGGAGGAGAGGAAAATGCCGATCCAGACGATGGTGGAGACGAAGCCGTACCACACCTCCGGGTGCGCGGGCCCCCAGCCCCGGGACATCATGTACCGCAGCGAGGTGGTGGCCAGGGTGAGCGGCAGCGCCCAGCCGAGGCGGCGCAGCGCGATGTGCATTCCCTCGACGGGCCAGATCATGCCGCTCATCACGATGAAGGGGAAGAAGGAGCCGAGCGCCACGAAAGTAGCCTCGCGGTCCGAGTCCGTGAGGCTGGAGACCAGCATCCCTGAAAGAGAGAGAGGGAGAAATGGAGAGATTAGGGACGGCGGTGCAGGTGCAGGGTGATCAACAAAGTGAGAAGCAGAGAGACTGAACCTTACCGAGACACATGCCACAGAAACCCTGCAGCACGCACAGCAGCACCACCCAAAACAGAGGGCCATCGTTGGTGATCTGCAGGACGACAAAGAAGCCAACGAGCACGATGATGGTCTGGAGGATCATCATCATAGTCTGGATGATGATGTGAGACCACATGACCTCGCGCATCGTCACCCCTGCAACAGATGAGCTCGTCATGACCTGCAATGTGGAGCTGAGGCTGTGCCAGGATCAACGACGGACTGCCCACTTGTACTCACCCATGACGAGGCTGCGGTCCAGCAGACCCTCGTTCTTCTCGGACAGAATGGCACCGACAGCCGAAGCCAATGACATGAAGAATATCAGCCTGTTGAGAAAAGGATGTGAACAACAGCGTGGATGCTCTAAAGGTATGCTGCAGTGGAAGAAGACGGACGAAAACGGAACGCAGGAATGGTAGCTTGATTTAATTTAAAAACTATGGCGCTAGGCTCTTACGTGAGGGCGCAGCCGGGCGAAGCAAAGTCCAGGAAGTCCGTGTTGATGTCGCCGTAGATGGGGCTCTCGAACTGCAACGAGTCGGGCGTTGAATGTGACCAATCCCTTTGCTGACTTTATCGCCCTGTCCGGGTTACGATAATACTCACCCTGACTGGTATTCCCGCCACGGCCGGGTTGTAGTCACAGTGGCCCAGCGTGTTCTGCAGCAGCTCTATGGTGCCGTACGTCATGTCCGACTGCATGAGCGTCGTGATGTAGGAGTCTGTAAGAGATACGTATCAAGTGTTGGCCTCATCGCCTGATCGCGTCGCCCTAGCCCAGCCCGTCCCCGGTACGCACTCGAGTTGTCCAGCCACACGTTCACCTCCGAGCCGAGCAGCGTCTCGTTGGTGGCGTGCTGCCCGTCGTTGATGCGGGCGAAGAGGTTCTCGGTGAAGTTGTCCTGCAAGTGGACGGCGGCGTACGCCTTGCCCTTCATGACGGCACCCTTGGCGTCGCCCAGCGAGCCGTACGAGATCTGTCCGACAGAACAAAGTCGTCATGCATAATTTGGTCCATCTTCTCCCAATTCCTGCCCCAGGCTAAACCCAAGGAATTTTAAAGCCCGAAAATTTTCCAGAAAAAATGGAAAAAATAAAAC